ATCCCAGAAATCATGCAGGGCATCTACGTGCAGCTGAGCCACATCCAGGAGCCACGGGCCCGCGAGGTGGCCCTGCTGCCAGTCTCCCTCCTGGCCAGCTCCTTCATGACCGAGGTCGTGGTGGCCCTGCTCATGTGCCCCCTCCCGCTGGACAGGTATCAAGGAAGGGGGGCTCCCAACCACCCCTCAGAGGGTTGAAACAGCCTCTACTCTAGGCTGGGAACCCCTCTTTTGTTCAGAGAAGGAAGCCCCTGACCGGTGGCCCCTCTCCTGTGACCCGCCGTGTTCACGGCCACTTTGAATCCCCCCCTGAGCCCCGTTGGTGTCAGGGCTGAGCATCCATTCAGTCTCGGGTTCTCGCACTGCCCCATTTCACAGAGGAGGGTCCCGAGGCTCAGGGGAAGTTTCTCGCCCACAGCGCCCACTGAGCAAGCTGCAGGACCTGGGCTCAGGTCTGACTCCGAACCCCCAGCTCTTTAATGATGCCTTGGAGAGGAGGACTCAGCGTCAGTCTTAACTCTGCCTCTAGCCTCTGTGTAGTCTAGGGGAGTCCCTTGCCCTCTCTAGACACTAAGAATATGTGAATTGAGAATCTTTTGGAAGATAGGCAAGAGCCCAGAGGGGTGGTCATGACAAAGGATTGCAGCCTGCTGGGCTGGGCGCCTGCCGGGCAGGCTGTGGGCAAGCATGCCCATGCTCACTGCCCTCAGGGAGCTCACTGTCTGACCGGCAGAGAGGACTGGCTGGGTGATGAGCTCAGGGGCAGGAGAGACCAGGCTGGCTAGCTTCAGTCTCGAAGCCTGGGAAGTTCTTGCGCCTTCTTTGAATGAATGAAGCAAGGCAGCGGGATCCACACCTTGGTCGAGGGAAAATGTAACAATATTGTGCAGAGGGAACCAGCAGTTAGCGTAATGGCTATGTCGCTGAATTCCCAGGTAGTTGACCACGGTTCGCATCCTGGACCCGGTGGCTTAAAACTCACGCCGGGCGCATGTGCGAACGTGCCCAAGATCCTGAGAGCAGAATGGAAGAGAAGGGATTGCGGCGTGACCATCCCCTCTGGGGGGTGATTTCTCGCTTTCTGTCTCTCTGTCTCTCTCTGTCTGTCTGGCGAGCGCACGCACCTTGTAGCAAAAACCTCTCCAAAAACAAGAAACAAAAAAACAAAAAAACCCACAACACTGCGTGAAAGGGATGTGCTCTGTAAGGACAGTGGGGCCACCCACAGAGACCAAGACCACATGGTTTGGTGGGATCTGGCTGACAATTTCACTGGGGAGAATAACCCTTTCTGACAGTGCCGCCCACCAGGAGGGTTTCTTTTGGGTCCGGTAAGCAGACTCAAAGACCACCAGCGGTCGTCCAGGATAGAGGACAGGGCAGTGTCAGGGGCGCCTCAGGAGAAGTCCTAGCGGCAGCCTGTGCGCCAGGCCAGGCCAGGCCAGGCCAGGCAGCTGGCACTGAGGCAAGCCAGCCACCAGGGCACACTTCCTTTTCTTCCTTTTCTTCTTTCTTTCCTCTTCTCTTTTTCTCTCTTCCTTCCTTTTTAAATTTCTCTTTGTTTCTTTTCTCTCTCTTTCTTTCTATTTCTTTCTTTTTCTTTTTCTCCTTTCTTTATCCTTCCTTTTTTCTTTCTTTCCTTCTTTTTCTTCTTTCTTCTTCATTCCTTCCTTCTTTTCTTCCTTTTTCTCTTTTCTTTCTTTTTAGTTTGCTATAGGGCATGTGTACTCGTGAGAGAGAGAAAGAGAGAGAGAGAGAGAGAGCTCCCCAAGGGGAGTGGCTGCACTACAATCCCTTTTCCATCTTCCTTCGGGATTCTGGGCACACCATGTCAGGTCTCCAACCACACAGTTGGCCTTGTTCAATCCAGCTGCCCAACCACCATCCCTCTGGCTGGCCTGGGCACAGCACTTAAGGAGGTACTGACTCTCAAATGCCAAGCCTGCACTAGCATGAGCCTGAGCACGAGGGCCTCCTTAAGCTTGGCACACTGGATGCCTTACTTCTGTCCCTTCTCTAGCTCTGAGTGCAGGGAGCTGACCTCAGGCCTTCCAGGTAGAGGCAGGTGGGAGGGAAGGAGACCCACAGGACGTGGGTGCAAGAACTGTCCTGGCTTAAATGGTGCGGGCATCACAGGGCCATGTTGCTTACACTAACTCCATAGGCGTGCCTCCCCTGGTCCCCACAGGAGCAAGCCCAGTAACAAGTCTCTGTGCCCTGGGAAACTCAGCACCACAGCGTCCCCATCAGTTCTTATGGTTCATTCAGAGTTTCTCCCAGTCCAGATGCAATTTACCAGTCTGGTCATTTTTACCATAAGCAATGTTGCCTAGCAACATAGTTGACATGCTATCTTTATCAGGTTTCCAGGGGAACAGAGCTAGAGAGTGAAAGGAAGGCTAGGGTGCAGGGGAAAAGGTTTTTGTTAACCCTTTAGATACTGGCCCAGCAGTGCATTTAGTGCACTTAACACCCCATGAGGGGAGCACCTGCAGGCTGGCGTCCAGCCCACACAAATGCTTTTCCTGACCTGAAGGACCACCTTAAAAGGGGCTGGAAGGGTCACCTCTGATGGAATGTGACCAGTGCAAGATTCAGGTCCCCAGGGGCTTGAACACCTCCATCCTTGCTTCTTGGCACAGTGGCATGAGCCCAGGCTTTGGAGTCAGACCTGGCCACATCTTAACTCTGCAGCACATTAACTATGTAGTGAGGGATTAGTAACTTCACCTCTCTGAGCCTCAACGCACATCTGTGAAATGGGCCTCAGTGTCCACCCTGAGGGTCATCATGAAAAGTCCATGACCTGGAGGGTCTTGAATTCTTGTTCACATCAGTATCCCCAGAGATTTGCCTGGCACCTGGTGCACAGGAGATGCTCAATAAATATCTCCAAAGTAATCAATTGTACATAAGGGACTAGCAGATAACATAATGGCTACATTGCGGGACTCCCATGTAGTTGACTGTGGTTCGAGTCGTGGGCCTGGTGGCTTAAACCCATGCCAGGCGCGTGTGCGTGTGTGCCCAAGATCCCAAGAGGAGAATGGAGGAGAAGGGATTGCGGCGTGGCCATCCTCCCTGGGGGGTGATTTCTCGCTTTTTGTCTCTCTGTCTCTTTGTCTTTCTGGCGAGCACAAGTGCCCTATAGCAAAAACCTCTCAAAAAACAAAAACAAAAACCAAAAACACACACACAAAACATTGTGCATAAAGCACTGGCATAAAGTCTGGGAAATCGGGCCTCTAACCGCGGTTAGCCCCCACCTCCCTGGAAGTATTTTGTGGACCATTCCTTGCTGGCTCCCTTGGGTGCTCTCACTGACATCTTACCTTCACCCTCCCCAAATCGTTTGGCAGCAGAGTGGGCTCCCTGGCCCGGCTGGCACTAACCCGCCCCCCTCTGACCTCTCAGCAATGGGGCAGAGATGTGGCGGCAGCTGATACTGCGCAAGCCCAGCTGCGATGTGCGGGACCTCCTAGATCTGCTCCTGACCAGCCTGAAGGAGAAACCTGTCACCAAGAAGGGCCGGGCCTCCATCGTTCCCCTGGCGGTGAGGACCCAGCTACCCCCCTATCCTCACTCTCCCCTTCCCTCCCACCCAGCTCTGTGCAACTGACTTCCAGGGCCCGACTCTGCCTGTAACTCTGGCGGCCTTGGGCAGGGCTCCAGCTCTGGCTCTTGCTGTGATCCACTGTGTGATAGCGGTGCTACCTGTGACGACAGCTGCAGCCTGGGACCGGGAAGATGCGGGACCTTGCAGTCGTAGACAGTGGGCAGGGCCTGGTTTTACTTACAGTGTGGGGTCCTGGGTAAGTCACGGCACCTCTTGGAGGCTCAGTGTCCACACCTGCAAGTGGAAATGAATCTGCCTCACGTGGCGGCTGCGAGGATGAGTGAGACCACCCTTCATTCATCTAGGTGACGTGGGAGTTTAAGCGCGTCACAGTGCCAGGTTCAGAGCTGGGCCCTGGAACACAGGTGGCTCCGACTCGGAGAGCTGCTGGCTGGAGGACAGGCTTCTCTCTGCATCTGTCGCCACCACCCTAGTCTCAACTAGCCCGATAATACCCCTACCCATCTCCCTGCTTCCACTCCTGCGTCTCCCATCAGAGCCCCAGCCAGACATGCTTTGAGAAGGGGAATCTGCTCTTCTTAGCCCCTTCAATGGCCTCTCATTGCCTGTGAGAGTCACACGGTGCTACCACCCGTGCTGCAGGGCACCAAGCCCCTTTCTGGCCTCCCCAAACCCTGTGGTCCTCTGGCTTGCTCTGCTGTAGCCTCACTGGTCTGTGTCAGAACGCCATACATCCATGCTGTCTGTCCCAGGGCCTTTGCATATGCTGTTACTTCTACCTAGAATGCTCTTTACCAAGTTGTCTTCCCCTTTCAGCTCTCAAGCATCACCTCCTCAGAGAAGCCCTCCCTGATCTCCCTGACCTACTCTAATCCATACATACTCCACTTTGCATCTCACACTTCATCTTGGACTGTGATTTGACAGGCATGCGGGGGTCATGTGGCTAATCTGTGAGGTGCATGAGGTCAGTGCCTGTCCTGTCATGCTCACCATGCTTTCCTGACAGCTAGCATACACCTGGCGTGTAGTAGGCACTCAGAAAGTTCTGTCGGATTCATTTACTTTTTATTTTAAAAAATTTACTAAAGGGCATGTGCACTTGCTGGAGAGAGAGGAGAGAGAGGAAGTGAGAAAGCCCATCCAGGAGGGAGGGTCATGCCACAATCCCTTCTCCTCTGTTCTCTCCCCCAGGATTTTGTGCATGCACTCACAGGTTCCGGTGTGGTTTTGAAGCTACCAGGTCTGGGACTTGAACGTCTGAGTCTGTCATGTGGGATCCAGCTGCTTAGCCACCACACCACCAGCTGGCCTGGATGGATTTATTTATTCCACAAATATCTACCGAGCACTTGCTCTGTGCCAGGCACACTCATAGGTTCTGAGGATTCAGCAGCAGGAAATTCTGGTGGAGGGAAGCAAGCAAAGATATTGTCAGTGGGGGAGTAGCTGACATTGACCCACTTACAGAGGAGGATCTGCCGCTTAGAAATAGTCTGTCTCACCCAAGGTCACTCAGCTCGCGAGTGGTGGTGCTGGGCCTCAAACCCAGGTCTTCTGCCTCCAGGTCCTGGGCTTCACCCTCATCTCTCTCTCTACCTCTCTTGCCCAGCACTGAGTTCTAAGAATAAGGCACCTTCCCTGACTTGGACTTTCATCTACTCCGACAGCGTGTTCTCCAATGACTTGTTCCTGCTTCTCCGTGCAGAAGCAGAGACTGAGCACAGATAGAGCCTGGACTAATTTTTTTTTTTTTTTAAGGTTTTTGCCATAGGGCACATGCGCTCACCAAAGAGAGACAAGGAAAGTGAGAAATCCCCCCCCCCCCAGAGGCCACACTATCATCCCTCCCATTCTCCTTCTGGGATTTTGGGCATGTGTGCACACCCGCCTGGCATGAGTTTCAAGTCCCTAGACCTGGAACTAGAACTTCAGTCAGCCATGTGGGAGTCCCGGGCCTTAACTACTATTCCACCTGCTGGCCCCAATACTGGATTAGTGTTTTAAATTTTTATTTATTATTATTATTATCTTATGGTACTAGTAAGTTCTTTTTTTTTTTTTTTTTTTGAAGGGTTTTGCTTAAAGGGTGCCAATGCTCCCCAGA